TTTTTTTTTCTTTTCTTTTTTTTTTGCTGTTGCTTGTGCTTTATTTTTGCTGTTGTCTCTCCAGTGGTTCTTGTGGTTTATTCCGTATCTGTACCATTCGTGCATTTTCCTCTGTTTTCACAGTTTTTGTTAATAAGGTGACTGCACTTATGTAGCATTACTTTACTATCATTTTATCTGACTGGGGGTTATACAGTGTGTCTGATACCAGGATGTTGGTTTTGCTAGAGCATCATATAATGTTGCTCCCACAAAATCACTGCAGTTGACCAGCCATTGTATTGTGATATCATAGTGCAACTGAAGTTGCTTCAGCCTGCCGACAATTTCTGCATATCTGCAAGCCCCTTTGCAACCCACTTTCATCCCAGACAGATTCATATCTGTTGCTGTTAATGCCCACTCTGTGATGAGTTCTTAGTGCTGCTCTCTCAGCCTTTTTTCTTTCTGTGTATCTGCATTAAATTATAACAAAGTACAGCACAGAGGAAATAGATTTAGGAAAACATCCTGCTTTCCAGTAAAATAAACCATTTAACGGCATTAAGTATGTATTTAAAAGCCTTTTTAATTGTGCTTTCTTCCAAGCTTTGGCATCACAAAAAAGTTTTGTTGCAGTAATTATTAATTTTTATAGAAGATGAGATCGTGCTGTGCACACACAGCACCTCACTGCAAAAGAAAATACAAAATCACCTGTTTGATATTGTTTTAGTACGCCTAATGTACCCTTTAGTACCATTAATGAGGAGCTTTGACACCTCTATATATGTTATAGATTATAACATATATCTAAATATATGCATCTAAATATACTTTGTTCTACCTCTATCTTTGCTACTGGGGAATTTATTGCACTGCATGTATCAAAAGCTAATGTAGCCTTGAGCAAAGGTGATCAGCTGGCTTCAAAGGTCTGGTAAGCTCCCTTCTTTCTAACTTTTAAACTCGCTGTCTTGAGTGAAATCACCTAAGGCCATTTATCAGATTTTATGCAACTCTGTTTAGAGCCACCAGAGGTTTTATATAACGTGTGTGTTTTTCACTTTGTTTTAAAGCACTCCCCAGGAGCTGTAAACAGTCTTTGATATGCGTTTGATGTCAGAGTTCCCCTTTAAGTTTCAGATGATGCTGACTGTAAATGAATAAAAGTAGAAGAGACATAATGTGGCAAGAGATATCAAACAGACCAGACAAGTATGTTAGGTGTTGAGACAGAAAGACAGAATTCATTACACAGACGAAAGTGAAAGGTTGAAAAAAATAAATAAGCACAACAAAAAGTAGCAGGATAATAAACAAAAAATGAAATGAAAAGTAGGTCGGACATAGAGTGTGTGCACAAGTGTTTGTGTATTTGTGTTTAAAAAGTCGATGGATTTCCTTTTGCTGTATATTTTTATTGTTGTGTTGGTATTAGTGTTTGCTGTCAGATTCTGTTGCTGCTGCCATTCTTTTTGTTACTAAGTGCTGTGCAGAGAAATGCAGGACTGCAAACAATGAAAATGTCTGCTTCAAATGACAGCTGCTGTTCCCTCCAGATGTTATGGAAAAAGATGTGTCTCATCTCATTGAAACTATGCTTTGGATGTGTGATGCTTATACTTTATTCCTTCTGTCGTTTATTGCAGGGCTCAGCTGAGCGGGAAGCAGTGGCAACAGAGGAAATGTCAACTCTGGTTAACTACGTCCAGCCTACCAAGTTCAACTCCTTCGAAGCCTCCAAGAGTAAGAAAAGCTCACTATAGATATGTTATTTTGTAGTGATATCCACTGTAACTCAATATAAATGATATAATGCATAAGTTTGGCCTTCACTGTGTTCACGAAATAGGGTGGGAAATTAACTAAGAGAGATTTTTTTTTTATTAAAATTGTTATCTAAAGTAAAGTCAGGTGACAAATGAAAGGATAACTCAACACAAAGTGACTTAATCAGTTTTAATAGATGATAATGTGTGAAGAGAGGATCAGGTCAATGTTTTACACACAGCAGGAGCTATTCAGGGCCAAATGTGTTTTGACTGCTGGAATTCAACCTAAGTAGAGCTTTCAATAGGCAGGTCACATGATCCCAGCCCATAGTTACCTGCACTATGCTCATGTTGTGAGTTTGGCATAGGGAGCTAGTAAATTGAAAACCCCTAAATATCTGATCCAACTGGGTTGTAGATCTGTGTTTTTACGTTCAAAAGACATGTCTAGAAAATTTCAGGGTTGGGATGAATCTTTCAAGTCTCTGAAACTCTACTGGAAGAATGGAACAACATAATTCCCAGAAGATAGATCTTCATTTGGTGTTTAGGTGATGGTGGTGGAGAGAGTTGTGTAAATCAGGATTCACTGTCCCATGTTGTTGTTTATGCGTGTGGGTCTGTGGCTGTGCAGAGAGAGTGATAGTGGGAATTCTTCCTTCTCTTCTCTTTGTCTGTCTCCTCTTTTCATTCTTTCTATTTTATCTATTCTCTTTTCTCGCCTCCCTGAGCTGGGTTCTGCCACAGGTTTCTTCCTGTTAAAAAGGACTTTTCCCCCCCCACTGTTGCCAGGTGCTTGCTCACAGGGGACCATCTAATTGTAGGCTTTTCTTGTAGATACTGATGTTTTTCTTTACAATATAAAATGTAACTGCTGTGTGAATAAAACTGAGCTACCAGTGCGTAGCTTGATGCCAGTAATAAAACACATGGATGAATCTGTTGAAAACAGTCCCTCAAAGGGAGAAAAACATTGCCATAATATAATATAAAAACTTTTTAAAAAATCAAACAAGACTTCTTTCTCTCAGTGAACTATAGCCAGCCAGTCATAAGCAAAAGTAGGCAATTTTTATGGTTGTACCACATATTTTGACACTGCCCTGTGGTTGCTACAGACCTGCAGCTCATATCTGCAAAGCTCTGCAATCGCATCTATACACAGTCATGTTGAACACTTAACACCTCAGTCCTCCCATAATCTATCAGTTTGGTTAAGATCTGGTGACTGTGAAGATCATAGCACAGGATTTACATCATATTAATTCTCATCAAACCATTCAGTGAACACTTTGTCCTCTTGCACCTTTAATTGTAGGATAAAGGTAATTACTCAGACACTTACACTGACATGTCCCTCTAAAAGAGCAAAAACATGTCAGTCAAGTGGCCCCCACAAAATAACTGAGCCACCCCACATAGAGACCAATGGGTTCATCCAATTCCTTCAATTTGTTAACTTTCTGTAGATGCAGGAAGTTTGAAACCAAACTAATTGCTCAGAAATGCGTGTGTTCTCGTTTTTGTGTGTGTTTGTGTAGAGGCAGCCCGCTGTTACCACATGTCGTCTTTTGTGGAGACCAAAGCGTTGGAGCATCTCACAAAGTCACCAGTGGAGTTTGTAGAGTATCCTTGGCAACAGTTACCACAGTTACATCACACCAAGGCACCATCACTTTATTTTTCATTGACTTCTCACTTTTGCTTGCTTTTTTTCTGTTAACCTTCAGAAATCTTTGTAACTCAGTAAGTTCTGATTAAGTTTTCACTTCATCAGCTTCTATACCAGCAGTTTCAGTACAATACATTTTACACGAATCTATATGTTAGCACTACTAATGAAATAATGGTCCTTAACCTTCTGTTAACCAGATATAATAAATCTCAGCTGAGTCGTATCTACCCAAAAGGAACCAGAGTGGATTCATCAAATTTTATGCCTCAACTCTTCTGGAACGCAGGATGTCAACTGGTGGCTCTAAACTACCAAACTATTGGTAAACTATTTTTTCTTTTTCTTTTTTTTTTGTAAAAGGTGCCTTCAAGGACCTTTAATAAAAGTCCTCCCACAAGCAAGTATCCTATCATGGAAAGCCCATTGGCCAATTCCAGGTTAAACTAATCTGAATTAATGGAGCCACGAACATAACAGTTCATCTCTGACTCATCCCTACAGAGATCTTGAACAATTGCTGTGCTAATCCACATTAAACCAAGAAAAACATTTGACACAGTTGAAACTGTTCTGGACCTCTACTGGAAGATTGCGACTTTTATGTGCCACCGTTGACTGTCATGAAGAAATATCCTTATTGACATTTTAGAGGGAATGCCATTTTTGGAATTGCAGAATTCTCCCATTTAGGTTTCTTTTGAGTGCCATGTCTCTGCCTGATAATGCTTTTGCCTCGGTAAAAGAAAGCATTCAAGATTCCCCCCCCTTTTAAGTGCATTTTAAATTAAGGGAGATAGTCTTTCCAAGGCTATTTAGGCTTTGCATGTACTCATTTGTTAACCACTTACCCTTGTTTAGAGTCAGATCAGCTGAAAATGTACTTCAGAAGCCACTGATTCCCCAAAATAACACATTCCACTTTGCTGCTCTTTTGTGCAACAACCAGAGTGCAGCTGTACAGCTCAAACTCAAACTGGTGCTTTAAGCCTTTGTGATGCTAAACTTCAATTTTCTGTTGCAGACTTGTCCATGCAGCTGAATCTCTTTATGTTCGAGTACAACGGTCGGAGCGGCTACAGGTTGAAGCCTGAGTTCATGAGGCGCCCAGACAAACACTTTGACCCTTTTACGGAAAACACAGTGGATGGCATTGTAGCTAACACCCTCTCTGTGAAGGTATATTCACAGTGCTTTTTTTTTTTAAACAGTCTCTATTGGTATAACTCTTGTAGTATCTTCCTGTATATGTTTAAACAAATGCAAGTGAATCCTCTGTGTTTCAGGTCATTTCAGGCCAGTTCCTGACTGAGCGGAGAGTGGGGGTGTATGTGGAGGTGGAGATGTTCGGACTCCCTGCAGACACTCGGCGGAAAGCTCTGAAGACCAAAACGTCTCAGAACAATAATGCCATCAATCCAGTGTGGGACGAAGAGCCGATTGTGTTCAAAAAGGTGCATTACAGGGAGTCAGATGTCTTACCTGTGCATACTAATTAGCCTATTAACAGTGTGACTGTGACAAATCTTTTCACAGGTGATTCTTCCTACCCTGGCCTCACTAAGAATTGCTGCCTTTGAAGAAGGAGGGAAGTTTATTGGTCATCGAATTATTCCGGTGTCTGCCATTAGGCCAGGTATTCATTCATTTCGACCTTTGATTCTCACCCTGGTGTTAAATTTTTAAGTATTTATCTATCAGATACTGACCTTTTTTGTATCTTTAGTGCTGACTGCTATTACTAACTACACCTCTTAGAGATTTCTTTGAGTGTGCTTGAGTTTCTATGGGTTCACTAGTTTGTATTGCAGTTTTGCTTCTCCATGTTTCTTATGGAGTTTATTGTGTTTTCCTTGTACAAAGACAGCAATATGTCATAAAGCTTAGCAGACAATAACTGTCCAAACTCGCAGGAAAGGAACTGATGATAAAATAATAAAATAAAAAGTCACAGAGAATAAAAATCTGCATTTTTTATATGTGTAGATGTTTTATGGCACCTATCATGAAAGATTCATACATAAATATTTCTTTGGCTTTTCATGCTTGTGGAGACTGTACAGACGTTGATATTTGTGTCATTGACCATATTTTGGGGCTCTTGATTTTTTTACTTACCTTACCTCCCGGGAAGCATCCTGACTTTTATGTTCAGACTTTATGTTGTGTGATCAGGTTGCAGAGGCACAAACAATGTGAACTAAATAAGTTTTTTTCTGTGTAGTTTGACTTCACTCATGCTTGGTCTGAAAACACTTAGCATTTCTTACTGCCAACTAACTTTATTGCCGGGGTTTTGTGCATTGCATTAAATATTTATCTGTCTACATGAACCAGATGACTGTTGCATCTGTTACTCTGCAGGTTATCGTTACATCGGCTTGAGGAATGAGAAAAACCAGTCTCTGATTCTGCCAGCTGTGTTCGTCTACATTGAAGTCAAAGACTATGTCCCAGATACATTTGCTGGTACAAACTTCTGGACTGTTTAATGGCATCACAGAACCAAATATCTACACTGACTGATTTATTTCATGTTTTTTGTTTTCATAACAAAACCAAGCATCACATAAAAGAACATGGGGGAAAGGGCAGTGTCTTTATTTATGCAAGGTGGCTTACAGCGAAAGGTATCCACTGTTGTGACAGTTTTTCAACACATGTAGGATCCCAAGCTCTGTAGTGCCACCTACAGGACATATTGTGACCAATCATGGCCGAAGTGGGCTCCTTTTTTTTCGTCTATTTGGCTCATCCATTAGCAGAAACCCACTCCTTGCAGTAAATCTCTTGAACATATTCATTGGCTCAATAGAATAAAGGTTTTATCATTTTAATGTCTCACCCACATGATTGAGCACAAGTGTCTTAAACGGCTAAAATATTTTATTTGATCATCAGCTGAAGAGCTTTCAGAACATTGTTTATGCATTTAAAGTCCAGAGTGCAGTGGGGCGCCTTTGTTTGTTTGTTTGTTTAATGAATGACCAAAACTGACAAAATCACAAATCACATCACATAAATACAAATCACATAAATAAACATTAGTACTGCTATTCTTCTGATACAGTAAAGAAAGAAAGGACCCCATTACATATGCTCTTCATCCACTTACTCATAATTTGCATAATTCGGCAAATGGAAAGAAATACAGTAACAAAAAATCAACATAAATCCATGTAAATTGCTAAAATTATTAAATAAAAATGGTGAAAAAAATGAAAATCACATAAGGATGTAAATAAATAGGGGAATTAATACAAAGTTAAATATTTTTATAAATTAATTCATGTTTGCGTGTATTTTTTTATCATAAACAATTTTTATTTATTTCATTTAAACTTCAATAACAGAACTTAAAGATAAATACATAAATAAATAATTTAAAAAACAAAACAAAACAAACAAAAAAATAACCCCAAAAAACACACCAATCCCCACACCACCACTCTGTCATTACTCCTCTGTTCTTCAAGTTACAGAAAGCCAGCTTGTAAAGGGGGACCAAATACAATCATATTGATGCAATTTGTCTAATAAGCCATAAGTCACTTTTTCGTAAGACGCCAACTTAGCCATTGCCATTTTGCCACTCTTCACAGGGAGGGGGGTTCTTTTTCCGCCAATGTCTTAGCAGGACCCATTTGGCCGTAGTAAGAGCCAGAATAATCCATCTTTTTGTATAACTGGAAAAATCTCCATCAGAAAGTTGTGTGGTTCTACCAAGTATGGACAGTTTTGGTGAGATACCAAATCTCCTTTTCAAAACACTGAAAATTACCTCCATTATGTTTTCCTACCAATCCCAAAGTGCCAAACAGCTCCATAAGATATGTAAAATTGAAGCATTTTGACCATCACATCTCCAACATTTGTCCATAGAGGCCACGTTCCATTTATACAATTGTTGCAGTGTTCGATGCCACTTATGGATTATCTTAAGTTGAATAAATCTACTGCCTGTTTCTTTATACATAGTATTAACATTTTGAAAACATGAATCCCATTCAACTGAAGATATGTCCAATGCCATGTCCTGG